GACTGACACTACAATATTACGTTTATAATTTATATAATAAATATTTAATTAAAAAATGTACTTACTCCAGAGAATAGTCAGGGGGTGGGGGCGGCGAAAAGCGCACAAATAGTAACCGTAGACGGCTGCTAGATGTAGAAAAAGGAATCCTATCGCATTAAACCAAACTACTTTTCTTTTGAATGTATAATCGGTGCCTATTTCGGAGGGTAACTTTAAATATGTATCGCTATATTTGTGGTCATCTTTAATAGATTTTAATTCTCCTGGTTTGCTATTGGGTGCCATGGTACAACGATGTGGAAAATAAAAGTAGAAGTTCAGTTTCGCGATTCAGGTGACTTTTCTGGAAAAAACAAATCGTTTTTTAATGCCATGTCTCTTAACGTTACTGTTTCATCGAAAACCGAGATAACATTTAATAGATTGCGTAGTTTTTGATATTAATTGATTTTTTTTAAATAAAATAACAATAAGGATTGTATATTGGTTTCACTTCACCCACTTACGAGACATCGTAAAGTTTAATTATAATGTTACACAGGAACACTAACACAACAGTAAACCAGAGTTCAACTTTTTCGAGATTCACTTTTTTTTTAAACAAATAAAATTAATTTTTTTAACACTCACTTATTCGCTTAGCACATTTCCCTCTAATAGTTACGCGAAGAGTATGGATCATTTTACAAACTTTTTTCGATTTCCCTCTACTTTTAGGAAATAATAAAAATGCCCCACGTTGGGCGTGTTATGTAAGATCGTCATTTGGCTTTATTTGTTAAACAATGAACTTTTGTTTCGGTTGGCGATTTTGTCGTCTTTCCTTAAAACAAATGCACCATATCAAGATCACATTGTATGTCTTTTGTTTTGCGAATGTATTAGGTTGTTGTTTTTTTCTAAATCAAAACAATAATTTTTTCCCTCATTATTTCAGCTAACGATTTGTACATTAATTCGGTACGCTTTGTAAAGAGACCGCGTTCACTAAAGCTTTAATAAAATGGATCAAATAATTGTACTTACTTGGTTAATTTTTTCTTCGGTTGAACCCTATGTCTGGTAGTTACATTTATGTGCTGATTCTTTTTTTTGCATGTAATTGAAGTGAAACACGAAAAAGCTTACTCGTCAAATTTTACGAAACATTTGTTAACGCTGTTAGAACGAAGTCTAACAAAATATGATTATAAATCAATTTATAGGTACTTGAAATTACCTAACAATTTTAATTTGTCGTCAAAAGATTCGAAAAGGGGTAATAATGATAATGATGATGATGATGACGATTATATAATTATTAATAATACGATTAACAACCGACAATTATTATTAACAACAAAGTAAAGAAAAGTTGATGTTTAGTTAAATTGTGTCGAATGTAAAGACTCTATGGAGTTATGTAAAACAGCATCCAACAAGTTAATTTAACTGATGCGGTAATTATCGTAATTAAAAAGGAATTGAAGAATTTTAAACACAATTTCTACAATACGACTGGATGTCTAACAGTACCTTAAAAAAGAACGTACTTACTTCCTTAAAATTGTTGCACCGAACAAAAATTAATAACTTGCCCACTGTCTTTTACTGATACATCAATCGCGAAATGAAACTGTTAGTTGATAACAGCTACGAAGATGTTTTATAGCGTAAAATTTCGATTAACATAAATTGTAAAACAATAAAAATGTGTGGTATCTATTCAATTGTGAGAATAATAAAATTGTGTTTTAATTGTTCATTTTGTATACGTGGGGGTTACGTTGTGTCACTCTTGCTCCCAGATCGACCTTTTTGTCTCATTCCATCAAAACGCCGAATTTGATTGTTTGTTAATGAACCGATTAATTTCATTCTTCGCCTGTGCCTTGGCTCCAATTTCGGTATTGCTTTGTTTTACTTGGACAGTAATTGGTATCAATTTGTATAATTAAGCACCCCATTTACATAAAACAAAAACAAACGAACAATATGTTATAAACATTCCTTTTTTCGTGTTTTTGCAATCACGCCGAAGGTGTATCGTCGACATTAAAAAAAAAAACAAAATAAGTATTTTTAAAATAACTGCAACGACAACTGTTAAGAAGGGGTAGTCTTTTCAAAAATTATGTAGAGGGGATTATAAAATCTATAAGGAGATAACGATTAGAGTTTAATTTTTTATTTGTGGGATACGTACGTTTGCTGGAACATGACAAGCGGATCCGCTTCCAGGTCGGACATGTCAATTGTTTTGCCCTTGCTAATTACCGCGGGATGTTTTTTACTCATTAGCCAGCCAATATGCGAAAAGAAGAATCCTCGGTTTGCGTTATGGGGATCCGCATCTGTATCGCTNATAAGTATTTTTAAAATAACTGCAACGACAACTGTTAAGAAGGGGTAGTCTTTTGTTTAGTTCTGTTAGTTTCGATTTTGTTTAGCAATCGTGTTGTTGTTGTTATTCAGAAGAAATAAAACAATAAAGGAAAAAAATATTTTGTTTTCAAGTACTTATGTATGTAGGTACATGGCATCATAAAAAGGACAGATTTCGATCGTTATAGTGGCTAAATTTACTTATAATTTTATGTATTATTTATCACAACATATGTATTAACTAGAGCAGAAGCAGCCATCGGCAGAATTTTGTAATATCCAATCGAGATATTTCGTAACCCTGGTGTAAACCCCTGGGTAACTGGGTCTGGCGCATCCGTTACCCCACGATACAACCCCTGTAATAAAAAGAAACAATTGACTATCTAGATTACAACTAATAGGCAGATAATCCAGTTTCTCACCTATTAATTCATATTTTTTGTCGGCTCTTTGCGCGATTAAAGGACCGCCACTATCCCCCTTGAAAAAAAAAAGCAGAAATTAAACTTTCGTAAACACTTCAATTGTTTTCGAAATCGTTCAGTTGTTTAAAAAAACAAAATTTTAATTATCAAAAATTGATTAGTTTTAATTAAAAAAAATGAAACAAAATAAGGATACCTTGATAGGAAATTGTTTTTTTTTTTCGTAAATATTGTTTTAAATTTAACATGGGTATATTCAGTTGTTTTCTGAATTGTTCACTTGTTTAAATAAACGAAATACGATTAAATAAAAGAAACTTTATAACAACGCAATAAATAAAACCACTTGGTGTAAGTTTCGCAGAGTTTACAGGAAATTTTATGCTACCTTGAGCTTTTGCGTATCACGTAAAATAATTTCTTTCTAAAGTACGACGAGTAATTTGTGGGATATCTAATTACAGCGTTCGGGGAAAAAAAACATAAAAGATCAAAAGTACCTGACAGGAATCTCGTCCTCCGACGCCAGGATAACCGGCGCAAAGCATGTTATCGGAGATCATTTTTGCCGTATAGCTGGTATTTTTTCGACAGGCTTCATTACTTATAACGGGCACCTCCACTTCTTGAAGAACACACGACGGCTTCCCGTCTTCTTTCAAAGTTCCCCAACCCGTTGCTATGGCTTTCGTACCGATATACAAGTCGTCTAAACAACAAACATCGGATAATTTACGTAGAACGATAACGAGCAATATCTATCTGATTTACACACCCTTTTTCGTCGGAAGACAGATGGGTTTGATGGTGTCCATGATGGGCACCCTGTCGTTTAATCGCAAAAGGGCAATGTCGTTATCGAAATTTAGAAAACTGAATGCCCCCGTTATAGCCCTCAAAACGAACCTCGATTCGGGCCTTTTTGTGTCACTGCACCGGTCGTGTTCTCCAAAAGTGGCCTTTATCATGAACCACATGAATCTAAAGAAAATTTTATTATTTATAACTAACTATAACTAACGGACTTTCCCATTATGTAGATATGTAAATTCAATCAATATTAGGCGTTATTATAAACTATACAACCAATTAAACACCAGAGTATAGACCCGTCCACTTTTTTCCAATTGTTTATTTCCACCTCGAACGCCTACATACGCCAAATATATAGACAATATTGTTTTAATTACCCTTTAACACAGTGAGCCGCCGTTAAAACGTATCGGTCATTGATTAACATCCCTCCGCAGTAAAATCTGTTGAAATACGACAGTCGTACCATCCACGGAAACTCATTCATGGCCGTTGCATGGCCCCCGACGATTCTTTTAGCATCGTTTCTTTCTCCGCAAGCTTAAAAAAAAAAAGCAAACGATAGGTTTCGAGAACAATTGCGAGAGCGGACTCTCTTTTGTTCAATTTTTGTTTTTATTTCGTTACTGTTATTATTGTTACGTACAACAGGAGCATGGCGAAGATGGCGTGTCATGTCTTGGGGGTGGTCGGTTCCCGTAGGTACCAAATCTGGTCCCGAAGAAACTTCTTAAGGTGTTCGCTTCATAGTCTACGCCATCCTGTAAATTTTAAACTCGGTTTCATTTAACGTCGTCCTTACAATACTCGATATCTATTAGTTATGCATGCCGATAGCTTTTGTCGAAGAAAGTAGATCGTGTACTGTTTTTATTTTCTTTCGTAAATGGGGAATATACAGGGCGTTGTGAAAGACACAAAGAACGGTACCAGGCGACTGATTTTTTTTCTTCGTGCGGTAAATATTTTGTGCAAACAGGACGCTCCTTATGGAGGTGCTAATTAAAACTACATAAGTATAAATTTACAGATGTTCTATATAACATTTTCTAGCGGTAAATAAAGCTGTTAGGTAATAAGTATGTACAGTATGCTGTGCATACATGTGTATAACCGAACGTGAAAATATTTGGATTGTTCCGTATGGGAATATTAATGACGTGGACGTTTCATAAAGAAATTACCACCTGTAGATGTTCGTTTTTTTTTATTTTAATATAAATTTACATCCATTTTCGATTAAAATAAAGGCTTATTGTTTTAAAGACATCATAATGCCAGTTTTTGATAAGTCCGAGATCTTCAAAATGTTTGGAAAAAAATATTCTCTACTATTACATATTCTGTTATTACGTTTTTTTTAAAGTTAACATTAGAATGGCCTACTTTTACGGTTGGTCCATGCCTAACATACTTTTTGTGGCCTAAAATTAATTATCGAAATCTAACAGGTTTTGACTTCTTCTCATGGTCTTTCGTGATCTTTTTTTTTATTACATGTACAGTTAAAATGGAAATTAAAACATCTTCTGAGATGCAATAACGGTTTCGATACTACAAATTGTCTACAGATATTAATTTGTTAGAATAACCGTACGTGTTTTCGCCGAGAAAGTTCTGTAAAAGAAAATTAAAAACAAAAGAACGAAATCTAAAGATTTTGTTTCAACAAATGATGTTTTTGTTTTGGGGATAGGTAACAAAAGAGGAAGAAACAATACACATCTTATGAAAACTGTTTTTTTCTTAAGTATACGTAGAATTATGACCAAAGCATTATCCTTTTTTTTTGATATCAACACTTACTCCTGCGCTCTCTCCGGGGATGACCAGATTTAACAGTAAAAATCCTAGGTAACAAATTATCCACTTCAACCGCATTGTTACTGCGCTTGTATAAACTTTTCGTCAGTCTTTTGTTAACACTTTTCAATTGTTTGTTATTTTTCTTTACGAAATATCACTAGTACGCACAAGTCGGATGGATGGAATGTCTTCTTCTTGTACTACCTGCGGCTTCCAGTCGCTTACTGTCAAGATAATCAAGTTCAAATAGCATCGAAGAGTCAAGTTCAAAGACATACATTATAAAAACGTGTTTTTATGACTGCTGTGTACCATGATGATGGTTTTTGTTATAACATACGAAAGAAGAAAAAATTGGCCCAACAAAAAAAGAAAAACAAAAGACTTGTAATGCTTTTGTCTAAATTAAACAATCATCAGTTGTCGTTCAACTGTTTAATTGCTGAGAAAATAACGAAATTTTTTGAAATACTTTTCGTTTAAGCGATTGGGACACTTATAAGAGCAGATAAGATANTGGAAGAATGTAGACACAGTCTGTTATATAGTCTTCAACTGATACTACTTTGAAGTGCGATAAGTCTGATAAATTTTGTTTAGTTAGTGCAGTAGATTTTTCTACGACGTCCCTTACTAAAAAGTTGAACTGTTTGATGTTGAGGGTCGGTTGTTGTGTAAGAGATACCGTTGTGGACATGTTAAATTCTTCAAATTTTAAAGAGTACCTTAATGGTAATATTGTGTCAGTGTCTAGTTCCCTAAAGTTAATTTTGCATCTTCTCATCTTGGTTGGAGATGATTTATTTGATCTGTTTCCAGGTTTAGAACCTTGGGTAGCGACAGAGACGGTGGTGTCGTTTAGAGTTTGGGTGGTGGGTGATGTTTTGCTTTTCTTTTTCGGTGGCGGTTTCATTTTTTCGTTTTTCTGGTTAAATTTTTCATTACCTTTTGACGAATCAAAATAACTTCTGGGTAAAATATGGTCGGGAACTAAATTTAAATATTCACGTAACGTTTCTTCTAAATGTATGATGTGACTGATTCGTTCTAACACCATGTATCGTATTTGTCTGCTTTTCTCTCTAACGAAAGCACTCACCAACTCCCTAAACCAGTTGATGCAGTGGAACAAGCAATCGATTACGTGTTTAATTTGATGGGTATCAAAATCGTCTATCTTCTGCACTAGCGGCATCACTACCCCACAACCCAGCAGAGCATCGATCGCTGTTAGATCGTGTTCATGGAGTAGTCGTACCAGTCTAAATAGAGGCGACAGTGTCATAATTGAAGTCGTATGCGACTGTTTCATAGTTAATTCCGCTATATTTACCCCAAAGGGAGTGTCTACATCGTCTGGATTGTTTAAAGAATATTGTAAAGAAAATGTTATGTCGTTAAGGGAGTCAGGAGTAGTATCTGTTAAGTATATTTTACGAAAATCGTTTGTCATCGATTCAAACAACCATCCTAAGAAGTGTTTATCTAAATTTAAAGTGGTCATTAAGAGGAAGGCTAATTGGTCGTAAAAGAGTCCCAAGTACTCCGGATTGTTTAGCGTGTTCGTGTTCGTTAGTTTTAATAGTTGCGCAGCTTCTCGGGAAATCCCTGAAGGTAAAGTTGACACGTCGGATGAATTGTGGTATTCTGTAATACTCCTATCTGACTGGTCGCCTTCAGCTGTTTCTGCGATATGTTTTATCATCATAATGGCCGAAACGATGCCTTGGTATTTGATTTTTTTCTTGTTACTGGATAACTGCTTGCGTACCAACATGTGCAACTCGTCTTTGAATCCTGTAGCCGAATTAGTTACCTTTTCCCCGCAGGTCAGGCCGCATAACAAATCGAAAACTTTGCTTACATCTTTTAATTCAAAGGAATCGAGGAGTTCCAGCAGGCTCATCAACTGTAATGTGTGCTCTTCTAGTAGCGGTTTGTTTTGAGAGAAAGACAATAGAATGTTTAATACGCTGGATGCGTATTTTTGGCCGTTTATTCCGGCCAGGATAACCAGGCTGTTTATTATGTCTTGTCTTTGAACCCTGTCGATGTACTTGTGATTGAATAATAAGTTGTGTAAAGTTTCAGCAAAACTGTGTAGAGAGTCTTCTCTTTGGTGTTGGAGTAAACTAGATGCAATATCTAAAATAGTGCCCAAAAATTCCTTAATTGTTTCAGGAACAAAGTAGTTACTGAACAATTTATCTAGTAGTAGTGTTCTAAACAATCCACTTTTGATCTTCTTCTTTAGTACTATTTCTGCTGTTGTTTTACCATTCTTTCCTGTGTTGTACAAAAGAATTAGTAATAAAAGATCAACTGGTTTGTGGTCAGCATGCCTCTTAATTCCATTGATTACATGAGTAACACCTTCACGTAAAGGTCTTGATGTTAGCATTAGAGATTTTAAATTATTAACAATAAGTGCCTTATTTGATTGAATGTTTATCTTATTGTCATCTGCTGAACTCATGATGGTGTCCAGAGAAGGCCTTAGTTTTGATATACAATTTGTTATTCCTTGAGATGTGTTGTCAGAGATTAGAAATTCAAACAGAACTGGAAAAGTGTCTGCTGAAGGGTTTGTTGTTATTATTGTCAGCACATTATCTTGAATTCTGGACTTTGTGGTATCATTTAACTCAAGACTGTTAAGACAATCAACAATAGCAGCAGTTAAGCTTGGATTTGAGTCCATAAGGTTACACAATGTGATGGCAATTTTACCATGTTGACTATCTGGAATTATGTCAGGAAGAACGTTGATTATTTCCAATTGTGATGTATAATTACTTCCCTCAAGGGCTTGAGTCATCTTATCTGCCAAGTCTTCTTCATTTTTGATGAATGGTAAATACTTAAGAGGGTGTAAAAGAATCCTCAACCATGAGGTGTCTTCAGATTCTTTAGATGTTTCAATCTTTATGTTTTCTATTAACAAATCGATAATATCAGACTGTAAACATTCAACTGTAAGAAGAATACGAAAAATACTATCTTGATAAATTTTGTTTTCAATGTTTTCCTGTGTTGATGAATTTATGGATTTAGACAAAACTGTGGGCATTAGGGCTTTCTTAAAACAGTTTTCATCCTCACATAAAGTTTTTAATCCAGTTACAACTTCTTCAGCATTGTCAGGATAAGAAATGTGATTTTGTAAATGCCTCTTTATGTCCCGGTGAACTAGAGCCTGTTCCTGTGTAATTATATTGGGACCCTTGTCGAAATTTATTGTAATTTTACTTTCTGTTATTATTTCCATAAAATAGGTGTTTTGTACCATTTCAATTTGATGTTTTGTGCTAATTTAAACTTAATGAACCTTATTTTTTATTCCCATAACGTAAACTTTTGACGTTTGAGGTTAGAAACTTTTCAGCATTGTCAGGATAAGAAATGTGATTTTGTAAATGCCTCTTTATGTCTCGGTGAACTAGAGCCTGTTCCTGTGTAATTATATTGGGACCCTCGTCGAAATTTATTGTAATTTTACTCTCTGTTATTATTTCCATAAAATAGGTGTTTTGTACCATTTCAATTTGATGTTTTGTACTAATTTAAACTTAATAATCCTTATTTTTTATTCTTATAACGTAAACTTTTGACGTTTGAGGTTAGAAACTTTGTCGTTAAATTTTAAATTTAGTATGTCTAAACTACCTCTTCTTCCGAAAGTGTTTAGAGGTACTGTTACCGGGGGAAATAGACAAAAATTGCCAGAAATGTAATAAATCAGAATTTATTTCCATTTCATTACAGACTAACAAACAATTATTCATTAGAATAAGATCTTTCACAATATATGATTTAAATACTTACATTTATTAATTAAGGTACATTATATATACATAATTTTCATATCACAATATAAAAGAAGTAGAGGAAAAAGCTCTCATTTGAAGACACATTTCTATTTCTTGTGTAATTTAATTTAGTATCAACCCTTGTTAGCTTCCACTAACCGTTGAGACTGATTTTTATTGGACTCGTCGTCTTTCGCGTTATCTTCAGAACTTTCTTTAGTAGGAACGTCGTTCTTTCTTTTGATTTTTCCAAAAATATGATGTGTACCATCGCCTACCCGTAAAGCTTTGTATTGTATCATGTTGTAGGGGGTGGTTTTTAAGTCGTAAGCCAATCCTACGGCCGCCAAACAATTTATAAGGAAAGTGGTCACACTGTACTTAGATCCCAGTTCCGCAGCACGATAGTCCCATGGGAAAGCATGGTGGTAATTGTGCCAACCTTCCCCTATCGATAGAAACGCCACCAGAGAACTTTCGACTGGTTTAAGGTTCCTAAATGTAACAAATCGTCATTAGACCGTGCTAAAGCTAACTCGCGCTAAGCGCATTTCAAATATACCGCGCTAACGACTTACTTATCGAATGGTCTGGTACCATACAAATGTGCGGCACTGTTTACCAACCACGTGATGTTTAGGAGTAACATGTACCTTCCGAAATAACTGATAAACAGCGAATTCCAATAAGTTTCACCCCAAAAATACACCGGTATAGCTATTGGCAACGCCAAAGCAAAAATTATGTAGAGGGGATTATAAAATCTATAAGGAGATAACGATTAGAGTTTAATTTTTTATTTGTGGGATACGTACGTTTGCTGGAACAAGACAAGCGGATCCGCTTCCAGGTCGGACATGTCAATTGTTTTGCCCTTGCTAATTACCGCGGGATGTTTTTTACTCATTAGCCAGCCAATATGCGAAAAGAAGAATCCTCGGTTTGCGTTATGGGGATCCGCATCTGTATCGCTGTACTTATGGTGTTGTCTATGGTCCCTGACCCATATGTACATGCAATTCTGAAATAAAAATCGACTCACATAATATCCTGGAGCGTGTTATTTTTTAAGAGGACCACTGTATGTCGGCGAGTTTGTATATACAGTCGTGCCGAGTAGTAATTGAATGCGAGTGAGATAAAAAAAATGAAAGACGTACTTGTCCGGCAACTGTTTGTAGGAGGATTAATGCAACTTTGAGGGGCCATTTGGCCTTAAATGACTTGTGTGAGTACAGTCTATGGGCCCCCATCGTGACTCCTATCCCACTGCCGAAAGTTAGGACTGACACTACAATATTACGTTTATAATTTATATAATAAATATTTAATTAAAAAATGTACTTACTCCAGAGAATAGTCAGGGGGTGGGGGCGGCGAAAAGCGCACAAATAGTAACCGTAGACGGCTGCTAGATGTAGAAAAAGGAATCCTATCGCATTAAACCAAACTACTTTTCTTTTGAATGTATAATCGGTGCCTATTTCGGAGGGTAACTTTAAATATGTATCGCTATATTTGTGGTCATCT